TGAATGAGGCAAGACAATTTTTTTTTTAAATAAGTAAAGGAATATAAGATAGAAAAAATGGGAAAAAATCAGACAGGGGAAAAGAATTGAGGAAAAGATTTTTAAAAGTGTCCGAATGTAAATATAAAAATGAGAGGAAAACGTAGAAGTGAGAAAAATGGCATAAGACAAAAAAAAATAAAAGAATTATAGTAGGGAAAAATGTACATGAGAATTTGTTGTAATACACATTCTTGGTTTAAAGAAAGAAAGAAAGAAAGAAAGAAAGAAAGAAAGAAAGAAATAAAGAAAGAAAGAAAGAAAGAAAGATAGGGGGAAAGAAAGAAAGAAAGAAAGAAGGAAAGAAATAAAGAAAGAAATAAATAAAGAAAGAAAGAAAGAAAGAAAGAAAGAAAGAAAGGGAAGACTCTAAGATGTCGAATATACAGGACGTAAAATATGACAAAACTAAAGAAAGAAATAATGAAGGAAAAGTAAAGAATTCAATTAGTCTGAAAAGAAAGAAAAAAGAATCAAATATACTAGACAGAAAGAAAGAAAGATTCAAATAGAATAAAATTAAAAGAAATAAAGATAAATTACATTAAACAGAAAGAAAGAAATAAAGAAAGAAAGAAAGAAAGAAGGAAAGCAATCAGGAAGATTCAAAGAAAGAACGAATGAAAATGTAGACGAAAGAAAGAAACGATTCTAATATATTGAATATAAAGAGATATAAAGGAGCGAAAGAACGGAAATTCAAGAATCAAATTAGTTTGAAAAGAAAGAAAGAATGAAAATTTAAGATTTAAAAAGAAAGAAAGAAGGAAAATTTAAGATTTAAAAAGAAAGAAAGAATGAAAATTTAAGATTTAAAAAGAAAGAAAGAAGGAAAATTTAAGATTTAAAAAGAAAGAAAGAATGAAAATTTAAGATTTAAAAAGAAAGAAAGAAGGAAAATTTAAGATTTAAAAAGAAACAAAGAAGGAAAATTTAAGATTTAAAAAGAAAGAAAGAAGGAAAATTTAAGATTTAAGATTTAAAAAGAAAGAAAATTTAAAATTCAAGATTTAAAAAGAAAGACAATTTAAGATTTAAGATTTAAGATTTAGAAAGAAAGAAAGAAAGAAAGAAAGAAAGAAAGAAATAAAGAAAGGGAAATAAAAGTATAAAAGCAGTTTCAGGGAAGCAAAAGGAGAGAAAGAACTCTTTTGAGAAATTTGTGAAAATGAAACTAAGGGAAAGAGATAAAAAGAGAGAGAACAAACAAAGAACTGAAATTTTTGTAACTGAAAATGCTAAAAAGGAAAATACCACCAACAACATAAAAAGACAAATATAGAGACAAAACATAACAAAAAAAATGGCAGGAGAAACGAAAATAAAATTCAATGAAACTCAATGAGAAAAGGAGCCCAACAAATCAAAGAATACATACACAAACACACATACACACACACAAACACATATATTCTTTTAAATATATATATATATATATATATATATATATATATATATATATATAGAGAGAGAGAGAGAGAGAGAGAGAGAGAGAGATAGAGGGGGGGAGATGAAGAAAGAGAGAGAGACTGAAGACAATGCATGGTGTTGATTACTCATCATCGTGGTACGGATGGAACAATTGATTTCCGTATTGCATATTTCTACCAGTAAAAATATCTAAAAAATGTTCTAAGAATTCTCAAAAAGAAGAAAATACCCAAATAAATTTTAAAATACATATTCAAGTTATAAGAAAAGAACAGAAGAAAAATATTCAATTCATGAGTAGCGCTTAAGAATTATTTTCTTCTGCGCTTGACTTTCATTTTACCTTCATTATATTGTGTGACGTGGAAAGGGCTATTTATTATGGTTCCTTGTCTTTTTAAATAGAATATTGCATTCAATTTCTTCTTGTTATGTGTTTCTAGATGCAATTGTTTTATCATTATCCCACTTTGCTTTCTTTTCATTATCTTCAGTAGACTTCCTGCCTTTGTCAATTCATTAGTAATTTTTTCCTGCTTTTTCCTCTTATCGTTTTTTTTTTTTGTTCTGTTTTCTTTTAAGAGTTCGTTCTTTTATTTTTGCTTCTTTTCCTAATTGTAATTTCCCGACTTTGCTTGAGTGTTTTCATCAATTGTTCCTTTCTTTCCTGACTTTACTTTTTATTTTTTTTTCTCTTCCAATTCGCATCTATTTTCCGTTTTATCTCACTTGCTTTCCTATACTCCGTCCACTTTTTCCCTGCGTGTTATCCAGTTCATATCCTGGCGCCATTTCTTTTTCAGTTTTCCCGCCTTTCTTCATTTTAGCCGCGTTCTCGAATTTACATTAATTCTTACACTTTCTTTTGTTCTTCGTTGCCATTCAATCGCTTTGTTCTTTTCTTTTCCAGCGTTTTCATCTCAGATTCTTTAACTCCTCAATTCATCATAATTTCCTTTTGCATTTATTCCTCTTTATACACTTCCGTTGGCTTTATATTTTATTTCCAACCTTTCGCCGACCATTTTGTCTTACTTTCTCATTCAGTTTCATCTGACTATTCACTTCTCTCTTTATTATAAATTATCTTTCTTTTCCTTCTCTGTTAGCTTTTACTTTATTCTCTCAAAATTCTGTTATTTTTCTTTCTCACTAATCTCTTATTTTTCCCTTGTCTTTATATCTTCTTTATTTTTCTCTATTGTCTCTTAATTTTCTCTTCTATTATCTTACGTTTTCTTTTTTTTATTTCTATCTTTTCGCTCTTTATTATTTCTTAATTTTCCTTCTCCCTCTGATCTATCTCACTTTTCCTTTCTCTATCTCTTATATTTTATCTATATTACCTCTTGATTTTCATTACTTCCTTTGTTACCGCTAGCATTTCACGTCTTTCTATCATATCTAACTTTTTCTCCCGTATTCTCTACCATCTCGAGAACTTCAACGTGATATAATGCTTAGTACGTTTGTTCCGTGAGAACAGTTACAATTGAATTGTGAGTTCAATCCTCACTGGGAGCCCACACTTTCAGCCTTGTGTAACATCTAAGCTACGCTTAATAAATCAACGTACACATCATCTTCTGCGTCCCTTTTCTCTCACTATTATTTCTTACTTTTCTTTAAAGTGTTTTTTTTTAAGATTTCTTACCTGTTTTTGTTATATCGCTCGATTGCTTCCTCTCTTCCTTTCGCATATTTTTTAAAAATTCCGTCATATTTCATATCTCCCCTCCCTTCCCATCAGCACTCTTCCATTTATATTCTAATATTCTATTCTGTTTGATAACCAACCTTATTTCTTTATGAATTCCTTACTTTTCTCCATATTCTCCAAATCCAGGGCTTTCTCACTCTAGTTGGAGGAAACTTTCCTTGATTCAGTGCGTCTTCAGGTGAACAGACCGCACTTACCACGCTTGGCCAAGGGTGGTGGGGCAATTTAACTCATAGAGTTTTCAGAGTTGTCCTTCATGACCTAAGTAGAGGATCCAGTCTGTCTGTTTTTTTTTTCAGACATATAGAACTGATGGATTCAAATATTTCTCAGTGGCATTTGATTGTAAGTGTATGTAAAGAACTCTACTGGAATTCGAACTCGGTTCTCCGATTCCTCAATCCAAGCCGCTATCCCTTACTTCATCCCGTCTCCCTATTCTATCTCCTCCTACTTCCCCTTCTTTCTCGTTACATTTTCTATTCAGCTTTCTTTTCCGCTTATTTTTTGCTTTTTCATTCGATTCTTATTCCACTCTTATATATTATTCCGATATCTAATTCTGCCCCTTATTATACGAAGAAGAAAACAGAATTTCTTGTTCTAACCCAGAAAAGAATGACGTGGAGCTGTTAAATGCGCATTTCTCTCCTTTTATATGGCCTAGATAATGCCTACCTTATTCAGAAACATCTAAACCAGCGTTTATCAACCGGGTTTCCTAGGAACCCTATGTTTCCGCAAAACGTCCCCAATGGTTCCGCGAGAACAGATGAGATAAGCTAATGCACTTTTGATTTTATTTAATTTCATATACGTAATATTACTAAACACACATAATATATTCTTGGTTATTGTAATATTTGAATATAGACATCATCCTGTCTAACCTGTTATGTTATTAAAAAATATAACAATCATTGGGAATATATTTAGTAATGTCTGTAGAGCGCCAGTGTGAAACAACCTTCTCTAGTCAGTGCACACTCAGCGAACGGGACCTGTACTTAAAGTTATTGTTGTGGTAGGATCAACCTAATTTACATGGTGGAGTACCGACCATATAAATAGTGTTGGTACCGGGAAGATTGGAGAGGAATCAAGAGATTCAATCCAGAGACTCTGCCCGATTGCGGCTAAGTCAACCCATTCTACAGGAACGGTCTTCACAAGAATATACCAAACTATCTGTAAATATTGTGTACACGTTCTTGTGTCAATACATTTTGTTTAAGTACATTTTGTGTTGTATTATTATTATTCCATGCTTTATTCAAGTTTCAACAGTTATTTATTTCTCCATGATGAACGAACAGTATGAATTACCGAAACATCTGACAAGGAAATTAATTATTAATTATTAATTTTTTCCTTAAACCAGTTATTAAAAAAATATACACTATGCCATTTACCACGTGATCTACGATGAAAATAAAATGAGAAAGATATCGTATATAATTTTGTTTTTGCGCAGGGGTTCCTTGAGACATGCAATTTGTTTTAAGGGTTACGCAAGGGTAAAAAGGTTGAGAAACACTGGTCTAGATTATCAGCACATTCCTTAATTTAGACCTTCACAGTTAGGACAAGTCATGTCACTTACCCGGCGTAAACTTATTCCCATCTCTTCCTCGTGTAGTCCCGTAGAATCCACTGAGGAGTATGTGGACCACACCCACTCAGCACCCTTGTGACGGTGCAGCTGTAATTGCCATAGGACTGTTTGATTTTGATGAGCTTGGTAACCCTAGGCCCAAAAGGTTTTGTACCCAGTTGTCGCTTACAGTAATAACTGTTCCCAGGGGGTCAA